CCCCAAAACCCCAAAACCCCAAAACCCCAGCAATAGATATTTTACTATTTTAAAGATGATTTATTATTATGATTTTAGTCAAATATAATATTATTGAATAAGTTTAATATGGTAGAGAGCACCACTGAGACTTACAAAGTTCAGTTCGTGAAGCACGAATTACAAGATGGCCATGCCGCCTATCTCATTAAAGTTGTGGCTCCTGGCAATATAATCTTCCACATCAGAGATAGATACTCTTCAATGAGAAATTTCTAGTCACTAATTAAAAAGCAATTTAATTTGAAGACTTTTCATGGATTTCCATATTTTCCACCTAAAAAAGCTTTTGGAAACACGAGCAATGATTTTTTGAACAACAGAATGACTTAATTACAGACATTCTTCAACAATTTCTTCGCTAATAAAGATATTGCTAAGAGTCCAAATATTATACTGTACTTCAAGGAGAAAGTAGCTGAATAGTAATCACAGAAAAAAGTTGAGGAACTTATCGAGTATCTCCACTAAAAATCAAACAAAAGCTAGCAAGCTCCTCAATAGCAGTAGAGAAATCAGCAATAAAATTAATAGCAATAAAACAATAATAACTTTCAAGGCTAATAGCAATAGATATTCAAAGAGGACTAGCCCAAAATTTCCAACATGATGGTGTCTTAATCTTAAAATACAAGTAAGTCATAAACCTTCGCAAATACCATTAATTTCAAATCAATAAATAATATCAGATTCTTAAGCTATTATAGACTTTGATATCAAGACATTTGAAGCTGAATGCAGAAAGATTGTTGGAGACATTTCTGATAAGTTCCTCGATCTCGGCCTAGATGATGGAAATCACTCTGATTATGGAAACATGATTCAAAAACAAGAGAAATTCGCAAAAGAGTTTGAAAGATTCCAATTCAATTTCGAGAGTCATCAACTTCACCTTCCAAAAGCAAGTCATAACAGTGATGAAATCATTGAAGAACATGACCAGACTCTCGGTAGCGCCCATGCTCACTTGGGGAATGACTTAGACAGAATCCATGAAATCATCAGAAAATAGATTAAAAACCAAATGCTCGCTGAGGGGCAACTCATTCAAGTAAACTGAGAACATTAAATCTGTGAGTACACGGAAAAATATATCAAGTTTTCTCTGAATTATCTTATCATGAGTTAATATCCTTAATAAATTTCATTGGTTCATTCTATTATTTATTCAGTAGCTATTAACAAATCTATTAAACATAAACTCAATTTAATTTTCAACAACTAACCGCCAAGATGAACAAGAGAGTTAGACTTATAGAAGATGAAGCTGGATCAAATGCCACTGAGTCTGAAAATGACTACAGAGAAGAGGACATTAGTGATGTTGAGGACTAGAGGAAACGCAGAAGAAGGAATAAGAAGAATGTCCAAAAGATGCCTACTATCATTGATGACACTTGGCTTCCCTCCACCATGAAAAAATTGAGAGCATGTAACTACTGCAAATTGGTGCTGAATCAGGAGAAGTGGGGTAAACTCAAGCAATGCCCCAACTGCCCGGAAAGTCTCGCCGGGCTTGATGAGACCACTGATAACTTTGAGAGTTTGATCTCTCTTGTATTGCCAATGAAGAGTTGGGTGGCAGAATGGCAGTAGATGAAGAACCTTATTCCTGGAATTTACGCCCTTGGCATCAGAAAATCATATTCTGATTGAAATTGATATCTCTTTGGTATATAAGTTTAAGCTTTTTAATTTATAAGTATATTTTTGATCTATTTATCTATAAGAAACTATAATTAACTTTACAATATTAAGCTTATTCATAAATAATCTAGCTTCCTACCTCAGAATTTCATAAAAATGATCTCCCTCTCTAAGATGATAAAACTTGCTCCCTCAAATTCATCTTCTTAACTGGACTTTGCTGATCAAGCTTTTTCATTTCTCTTCTGAATTTGGTTTCCATATCGTTCCATACATTTACGAATCTCTTCTCTATTATTTCAAATTCTTTCTGCTTCTGTATCATAAGCTACTCTCTCTGAGAACTATGCTTTTTCTTCATTGACTGAAGCTCTTTTTAGTGTTTGATAACAATCAATTAAGATTTGTTAAGTATTTTTCCTTTGCTTTAAAGTTCATGCTTTTCTCTTTCAATGGCTTTAAGCTCTTTCATCTTTTTCTTTACCTTCTTTGCCTCCTGATAAAAGCCCTGCTAACCTAATAGCTCACTTTTCTTTTTCAGGTTTAGAATTTCCCCGCTGTAATGAACAAGAAACGACCCTGAGAAAGAGCCCTGCGTTCCCTTACTTTGATCCACTTCTATCTGTTGTTTAAAAGTTTCTAACTCATTTTGATGTCGTTTTTTCAACTCTATTTCTAATAATGCTGCTTCATTTTCAAAGTTAGGCATTATCACATTTTCCCATTTATTAATAAGTTCCTTCAACTCTGCCTTATGTGCATTCTCAAGTGCCTTCATTTCTGCTTTCTACAATGAATTGAATTACTGTTATATTTACATGTCTTGATATCAGTATTTCTCTTTTTCTTATATCCTCTAACTTTCTAAGTTCTTTAAGTCGTTTTTTTGCTGTCTATGCTTCATGAAACTTTCCTTCTTTCTCACATATTTTTCTATGCTCCTACAAAAGTGTTATATTTAATGCTTGTATATTGTGAAGTTCATACCTCTAAGACTTATAAAAAGTCCTCTGATATATAATCAGCAGGATTCAATTAGGTATCTAACTATTATCCTCCATTACTACCATACATCGTTGTGTCTGCACTTCTTAGATTGAACTTAGCTCTATCATGTGTCTTAGATCTCATCTTAGTATTAGCATCGCTAAGGGAGAAATTTTGTGATTCCCTCAAATGACTAATATCATTATTCGGTGGTTAAACTTATGTCATTTTATTTTTACAATAAAAATTACTTTATTTATAAAATTAAAGTTAGAATAACATTATTATTCAATAACACTTTTTATTAACAATTATTGCTCCCTCTTCTTGGTATTCAGCCTTTGATATTAGTATACTATCTAAATGCTTCATTGAAGCGTAAAGCTTAGCCCCTTATAAGATTTGATTTGCTGGCTCTTTCTGTTATACCACATTAATCTTAGAATACTCATCTATACATTTAGTCTCTAATTACATCTAAACTAGATTTCCCAAATTGCTTAGCTGAATACCTCCTCCTGTTAAAAGTACTGTCTCAATCAAATTTTTATTGATATTTTCCTCAAGTGAATAATTCTAAAGGCATTTGAGTATCTTATAGATCACAGATTTCCTTTCCAAAGTCGCTTGCTCCTGGTTATAAAGACCTCCAAGTTCTGTAATTTTACTATAAGCTGACTTCATACTATCAAAATAAATGAAACCTTTATCTGTTGGTCCACCCTTACTAGTGTATTGATATTTTTGATAAGAATTTTCCATCTCCTTTATAATTTCAGAGTTAAAGTAGAGAAATGCCAAAGCATCTCTATCATATCCTTTCTCTTGATTAACGATCAGCTAAGTCTTATCTGGTAACATATATGATTTTTGCTGCAATAACCTGCCTTTGTCATCCCATAAATTCTCTTTTAAATCACTTTTTACCTTTTCCAAATTTAGAATATTACTAATATTTGGTTGTAGTCCATTTCCAAGTTATAGACTATACAACAGATATTTATCAATAGATTATCCATTAACTTTGAAATTATCTGCAGAATAAAAGGACGTATACCCATTTTCTACTGGAGAAATCTAAGTCATGTCAGCTCCAAAGTCTACTACCATTCCTGAGTATTTAAGTTCAGCAAACAGCTTCAAACTAGCCTGAGGGACAAATGCAAACTTAGAAGCGTTAAGTGACTCAAAAGCAATCTGGCATATATCTTCTCTTTATTCAAATCTCTCTGTAATGTTTATAGATGGTTCTGACATAAGTAGTCCAAAGTTATTGTCATTATCAAAGCCTACATTATCTGACTAGCCTATTTTTTATAGAGTCTCTATCGGCTTCAAAAATTCATCAATTACTTTACTCCAAGCGTATTCAAACGAATCCATGTCTATTATCCTTCCTTTATACATAGGTACAGGTATTTAAGCCTAGCCAAATGGATTGTTGGAGATAGATTTATCAATAAATTGCTAGATCCTCTTGTCAAGTCTTGTCTTTGCAAAGCTGATGTTGCTGATTTCCTTGATATGAGGGACTATCAATGTAGGAAACAAAAAGTAGTCAAAATCATGAAACACATTTGTAGATAGTTATGCACACTTTATAGAATCATAGCCATTATCAATGAAAATAAATTAGTTTTTGCTTTCCATGTTTGAATTATTAAATTATTATGAGAGTTAATTATTTGATTAAATCAACTTAATTAAGAAATTTATTTACATAGAACGAAAGAACTTTCAATGATCGGATAAATAAGACAGTAGTTCAGGGATTGATGTTGTTTTCAAAAGCAAATTGATTAATCTCATTGAGTCCCACTCTCATATAAATAAAGGCAGTATCATAGCATTTAGTTAGACATAATTCACTGTCACAATGATAGTTTCTCTCCTTTTTAAGGCAATAAGGCACGCAGGATTTAACGATATATGATTCAAGCCTTCTAAAATCCTTTTGCTGCTAGCCATCTGCCTTATTTTGAAGCATTCCAAATGGATTGAAAAGATTCATAGGATTTTTGATATCTTGTTGCTAAATCTACTATGACATTGAAGCACCTCCAATTCCGCTGTTGAAAATACTAGCAACACTATTACCTCCTCCTTATCTTTACTACTGCAACTCATGTGCTTTCTACATTTTCTCATTTTAAGTTTAAGCACTGTCGAATGCTTTCCCAATTTAACTAAACATGCCCATTTTATAGACTCTCCTATTTTATGATTATTAATTTATGATTGATATATTAGATTTAATTAATTATTTTCTCTCTCGGGGTTTTGGGGTTTTGGGGGTTT